ACTTACTAGCAGTTAGCCTACCCTAGAAAGTTTTCCATTGCATATTTACTTAGACGTTTTGTATATTTGTAGTGATGTAGCCTCTTTCAACAGGGACCTGAAAGGCGAAAGCCTTATTCCCTTAGTAAAGTGAATTAAAATGATTTAATTAAACTTCCAGTAAAAAAAACTTACCGAGTTTAAGATAGAACGGGCATTCCATTTATCATGATTTATCTCCGGGTGTGACATATAAAATAAAGTCACAAGAGGCCCATAGGAAAATCTTATTTCAAATATATAGTACTCTAAAAACATCTAGAGTAAATACGATTGACTTTTAATGAGCTGAAATTTAGGCGGACAAGAAGAATTTGTCGCCGGTTGCCTGTACCAAGATTGGTACCACTTATAATTGGTCACCCAGTCAACCAATATTTTTTTTCCTTGCGGCGACCTCGGAAAGCTGCGTAAAGTTCCGCATCGTTGGCAGTTACTCACTCACGCCTGTAACTCATGTCTGAGGTGACGCCTTCGGTTCCTGATTTAAAGAACGAACCGCCGAAAAAGCAGTTCAAATTTGACATCTTACCGTTGGCCCTTGCATGTGGCAAGCTTTTAAGTAGCTGGCTTGCATTATGGGGCCTTGGCTACTACCGCTTTAGCCCAAGCTGGATTGCTCTAGGAGCGGTGACCTACCTGACATACACCCGCATGCGTCAGAAGCGTGCCCTTATAAGTGGAGCTCTCAAAGCAATAGGGTTAAATGAGAAGCAATCGATCTTAAACAATATTGGTGCCCATGAACTTCCATCTTGGGTTTACTTTCCGGATGTAGAGAGGGCAGAATGGCTAAACAAGGTTATACTGACTATATGACTCATATCCGACTACAGGTTATCCACAGAATGTGGCCCTTTATAACTGATTACGTGACCGACATTCTTCTGAAGACTGTAGAACCAGCTGTGAATGGTTGTTTACCGGCCTCTCTCCAACCCTTTACCTTCCTACGAACAGACCTGGGTGACACAGTAAGGATGAACTTTGTTTTATCCCCTTAGCCCCCACGAATTGGTGGCGTAAAGGTTTATACTGAAGAAAGCATACGTCGCGATGAAATAGTGATGGACGTTGACGTAATGTTTGTGCTTTCTGCACCCGTTTCACCATCTCTTGAAGGTTCTATAGCGATGCAAGGATAAAAGTTTCAGTCGGAAAGGTCATTGCTGGCATAAAGGAGTTCGAGGTACGAACGCGTGTATTCTATGATATATCCTTTTTCACATATGCAGTGCTATTTGATATGTTTTCATTTGCCTACCGATTAACTAAAATGCATATTTTCTGACCATTGGGAAAGGTGAAATTCAAATGCACTTGCAGGCAAAATTTTGATACATATGCGTCCTAGAATGCCTATTCTTTATGCAAAGATGACGGCCTCAAGCGAACACTTTTTATAGGTGGTTGTGGGAACGCGACCTGTACTTGAGTTGACATTTTTACATGAGGAATCTTGGGGATGTTGAATAAAGGTGGGTCTCTAACAGCCGCTCGGATTCTTTGTTCGAGGTTGTCTCTTCCAGCACTTTGGCTCATGAGCCTACCCACAAGGCAGTAGTGGAAAGCAATCTTATTTAATGGCGGCTCACGCTCGTCATGTCACAGTGCCGTCATTGGGATTTGCGGCATTTTATAAGGCCGTCGGCGCGCCAGACCTCAGCCCTCCGCGCCCTGGTAATACTGTCGCTGCTGTGTCCACAACTGCTTATTCGCCAGACCCGGGAGCTTGCTTATTTCGCAGCTAACCTTC